TTTTTGATTTATTTCCATCATTTGTTATATGTAAACAGAGACAACTGTCATTGTGTAAATGTCATCCCTCTGCAAAAAGTTCCGATTTTTTTCAAGGAAGATAACTCTCACCCGGATCAAAGTGATTGTAAAATGTAAAATAAATTAATTATAAAGCCATTGTGTATATTTTGTTCAATTTCCCACTCTATATGTATAGATCTGTGTGTCCTGTTTGCTTTTAGCTTGTAGATAATCACTTTTATCCGTTCAAATTCAATAAAAAACACTTTGTGTAACATGTGTTACATATTTTGCGATAAATAAAATATTTGTAGGATTAATTATAAATGCTTCTTTTCATTTTTTTATTGTTTTTATTGTTCCGAACAATGCCACACACAAAAAAAAACGGAAAATATTAAAAGTGGCGAAAATTCAATTTTTTGGTATTTTTTCCAAAAAATTCCCCAAACTATCGGAATGTTTAGATTTTCATAAAATTAACTCCACATAGTTGCATAACCATTATATGAAAGTTTCAACGAATTTTGCTGGTTAATTGCGAAAGTGTGGAGCCACCTTAATTGACATTTTCTGACAAATTCCCTGAAAGAGGAAACTTGCTATACTCGCATCACCAGAGAACTACTACAACAAAGGACATGTACTACACTGACAACTCTATATATATAGACATGTAATACACTGACACCTCTATATATAGACATGTACTACACTGACACCTCTATATATAGAATGTACTATACTGACACCTCTATATATAGACATGTACTACACTGACACCTCTATATATTGATGTGTACTACACTGACACCTCTATATATAGACATGTACTACACTCACACCTCTATATATAGACATGTAATACACTCACACCTCTATATATAGACATGTACTACACTGACACCTTTATATATTGATGTGTACTACACTGACACCTCTATATATAAACATGTACTACACTGACACCTCTATATATAGACATGTACTACACTGTCACCTCTATATTTAAACATGCACTACACAGACACCTCTATGTATAGACATGTCCTACACTGACACCTCTATATATAGACATGTACTAGACAGACACCTCTATATATAGACATGAACTACACTGACACCTCTATATATTGACATGTACTACACTGACACCTCTATATATAGACATGTACTACACTGGCACCTATATATATAGACATGTACTTCAAAGACACCTCTATATATTGATGTGTACTACACTGACACCTCTATATATAGACATGTACTTAACTGTCTGACAACTCTATATATTGACATTATGACAGTAGTTGGAGTAACATTTTAATACCAAGTACAGTATGCTATACGGATACTTTCAAAGTATATTTTGAAAATCAAAACATCCCTTGACAATAAAAAATTCTGACCAGGTTTACTGACAGTGACACAATGCTAGTTATGTTCTTGGCACAGAATACAAGGATTCTTCAGTCGTAATGATCTCTTTATTCATTGTTACCCTATACAAAATGGCCTTTGAAACATTACATTAACCTGCTATAAGATATTAAAACCAGTAATACAATAATTCCGTTGATTAGAAGGATACTCTACAGCTTACATGATTGTGGGTACTGATCTCTGATGAGTTTTGTTTACTGTAGTCCTTATGTGCTGGTCAAAAATATAGGGTCATCTAAACTACTGCTATACACCTAAGGACATTTGTAAATCTTACCTGCGTTTTATTACCTGTACAGGTAAAACTGATTTGTAAACAATCTCCTTGTAAGGTATTGTTACAGTGATGTGTATCTAGACCCCAATATAACACTACGGATACAATCACTATCTCAACAACAAGAATGTTTACGATTAGTCAACTTAACATGTTTTAAACAAATATGTATAGGGCACTCATCTCAAATGATATCTGAATGTATTTTATTTGTTTTTGATAACCAAGTCATGTAAATTTAATAATTTGTCAAAATAACATGGGTTTTACAACAAAAATGTGTATTATAAAACATTTTACATTTTTCTTTTTAAAATGTTAAGACAACCATTCTTTTCTGACTCTTCAAAAGTATTGCTAGATACAAGATTCAAGATTTAAATTTATGAGGATATTATCAAGGAGGTTAAATCTTATTTCATCATTTTGTATATGATAAATATATATCGTTCATAGTTTTCCCTCCCAAATATAAAAAAATCACCGACATTTGCATTTTAAATAAATAAATCTTGTATACATAAACTACATTTGACAATTAAGTTTCAGAACAAACAGAATGAGCATGTTTATTAGTCCAAAGGAAATGAAAAAGATTAAAAAGATTTTATTTTATGCTTGCGTCTTTTGTACAAATGTACTGTATGTATCAACTGTTTTTACTTTTACATGTATCATTAAAAATCATGTTCAAACAAGATAGAAAATTACATTTGAAGTATTTTTTTGTGGTTTATAGCATGATTATTGTGGCAGGGGAGATGAATGTTTCTCCAATAAAAATTTTCTTTTCTTCACATGTGATCACACAATGTCTGGACCTAAATTATGAACATTTTAACAAGTGGGTGCTTCTAGTGTATAGATTTGTTATTTACAGTGATTTCTTTATCAGGCCAGAGTAGATAATTGCTTCGTTGCATGAGAGGTTAAGTAAATGTACATTACAACTACAGAAAACGAACCTCTAGATGTCAAGTCAATTTTACAGGTAATATTGTAACCTACCCTCGTATCAAATGCCTCTGATTTATTATATACTTTATTTATAAATTTTGTTAATAAAACATGTGAAAATTAAATGTCAAAATTGAAGAGTTGAATAGACAATTCGAAAACTCCATGTCATCCAAAATATATCCTTATTTCTTGATACTTTGAAATCATATTATCTTGTATTTTCAGTGGAGGCCATGTTGGATAAAATCAACGTTTAACACCTCAATGTTAATGTTTATCAATGATTTGTAAATGAACAAGAGGCCCAGGGGCCTTAATAGCTCACCTGGTATTTTATTTTTCAATTTAAAACCTGCTGAGTACCATTCAGGTTTATCAAAGGAGTACAAGTAACAAAGTTGCATCTTCCATTTATAAATATTCAATTCCCTTTGCCCAAAGATTCTCTAAAACAAGTTTGGTTAGGTTAAAATCCCTTCAACGGTACAGAAGGAGAAGGATCTTTAATGTTTTCCTCTATTTCCCCTAATGGGCCCCACTAATCTGCCCCAAAGAAGGGGAATCCACACACCTCAGTTTAAACAAAATTGATTCTTTTCTCCCTAAGCATGCTTCAGACTGCATTTGGTTTAAATCCCTTCACTTGTATAGTAGGAGAAAAGAATTCCTCTATTTAACCTATTGGGCCCCGCTCCTATGCCGCCAGAAGGCCCACACCCTCCGTTTATACAAACTTGAGTCTCCTTTGTCCAAAGATGCTCTAGGACAAATTTGGTCAAAATCCTTCAATTGGTTGAGGAGAAGATTTTTAAAGATTTACCTATTTTCCCCTATTTGGCCCCGTCCCTCTGCCCCCAGGGGGACCATACCCTCCGTTCATACAAAACTGAGAACCCTTTGGCCAATGATGCTCCAGACCAAATTTGGTCAAAATCCCTTCATCGGTACAAAAGGAGAAGGATATTTGATGTTTTCCTCTATTTCCCCTAATGGGCCCCACCCATCTGCCCTTAGAAGGAGGCCCACACACCTCAGTTTATACAAAATTGATTCTTTTGTCCCTAATCATGCTTCAGACTGCATTTGGTTAAAATCCCTTCACTTGTATAGCAGGAGAAAAAAAATCCTCTATTTCCCCTATTGGGCCCCGCCCCTCCGCCCCCAGAGGGGCCACACCCTCCGTTTATACAAACTTGAGTCTTCTTTGTCCAAAGATGCTCTAGGACAAATTTGGTCAAAATCCTTCAATTGGTTGAGAAGAAGAACATTTTTAAAGATTTACCTTTTTTCCCCTTATTTAGCCCCGCCCCTCTGCCCCGAGGGGGGGCTATACCGTCCGTTTATACAAAACTGAGAACCCTTTGGCCAATGATGCTCCTGACCAAGCTTCAGACTGCATTTGGTTTAAATCCCTTCACTTGTATAGTAGGAGAGAAAAAATCCTCTACTTCCCCTATTTGGCCCCGCCCCTCTGCCCCCAAAGAGGCCACACCCTCCGTTTATACAAACTTGAGTCTCCTTTGTCCAAAGATGCTCTAGGACAAATTTGGTCAAAATCCTTCTATTGGTTGAGAAGAAGAAGATTTTTAAAGATTTACCTATTTTCCCCCTATTTGGCCCCGCCCCTCTGCCCCCAGGGGGGTTATACCCTCCGTTTATACAAAACTGAGAACCCTTTGGCCAATGATGCTCCTGACCAAATTTGGTCAAAATCCTCTGAGCCATTCAGGACAAGTAGCATTTTAAAGGAAAAAGTTGCCGGACGCCGGACGCTGCACCATGGGATAAGCTCACATGGCCCTTTGGGCCAGGTGAGCTAAAAATACAATAATAAGTTACAGATTTTGTGAAAATGATTCAGTATTTACAACAAATACTATTATGACGCCATTGTATTTCATTGTTTTAAAAGCTCAACAGAAATTGCTGCCACTCATTTTCACTTTGGAAAACACTTTTCCCCATCAATCATAATGCTAATATACATACATATAGGACATATCTGACATTAGAAATCTGGGCGAATTTTTAGTACAAGCAATCAAAAGGAGATCTGAGCTGATTGCTGGTAAGTGTTCACTCTCCACGGTGTGTGTGTAGGCGTGTGTGTATGTGTGTGTGTATCATATTGTATGTTGTCTCTGTATTGTTTTGTATATATGTTATAACTGATAAGTCAACCGACTTAAAGTAATGAAGAACTTGAACTTGAATTTGGGACAGTGAGTCCTTTTTATTATAAGACAATTAATAATTCAGAAAACTATATAGATAAAAACCATAGTGTGTGGATTTTCAGGGTTGATGTTAGAATTACCTTTGACCTGTTGAAGAATTGCTTTGGTGGTTGTGGTCTTGCAAGATTGCGATATTCGTTACAAAAGTCGTTCCTGGACTTGCTGCGGAAATGGCCATAGTATCCAGATGGAAACTGGAATAATCAGATACATTGTATATTACCAGTTAAGAAGCATAATTAAATTTAATTCTAAATTAAATCAAACTTATTCTTATAGCTAACTAGAGTAGACTAACATATTATAACTATGATTATCGTCAAATTTAGAGGAATCTTAGATATCATTGCTATTAAACAAATACAAATGTTAAAGATCATAAAATAAAATGGCTTTAAATATGGTAACATATATGAGAGTATTGTGAACTGTTTATATAATTACAATGGGGTTAAAACCAGCGACTCCCAACCTGCTTCGCCATAAAATATTCTGCCCCTCCTCCTCCTCCTCCTGGCGCTAAGCTATACAGCAATTGTGATCCTATGTGCAATTAAAACTTGCTCCAATACACCTCCCCCTCTCATTTGCCTTCTCCCATAACAAACAGTAGTCTAAACGATTACAATGATAATTTCATTTGATCTGATATTTTCCATGTCAAATATTTATCCCTGGTTTATTGTTGACAGCTGTCATGCATACACAACAATAATATTAACAATATAAACACATTCCACTCCTGCTTTGACAACAATTCACGGTGCTGATAGCTGAACAGTAGGAGCTAATACAGAAATCTACTGATTACTCACCCACGTTCCGACGATTTGTTCCGTCATCTTCTTTTTTGCCATCCTTCGCAGGACGGGCAAATCAAATCCGGTTTGTCACACCGATACAACTCAGTTAATATAACTTATGTTCATTAAAGAAATCATCCGGGCCTTTGACTTAATTCGTTATCAGATGATCTCGTGGGGCCTGAACTCGAGTTACCAAGAAGCCCGGTTTCAATGCGAGTGTTTAATGGCGGTGTAAACAAATCGTAGTTAGTGGTGGTTACGCTAAGCCAATCAATAGCAGTGTCCTATCCGAGCAAGGTGCACCGAGCACATTCGGAATATTTCGGATCTTTAAGATATAATTAGCAGTAAAGTCCAAATACACACCAACCAGCTGCTGTCGTCTGCTGGATCATAAAATTTGCAATGAGCTACTGAGTACTGAGTCAAGTAGACAAACAGTGGCTACTCAGTAGGTACTGTTTGGACTGTAGACTGAAGCTGTTAACTGCTGTAAGTATGTTGTACTGAAATAAACTGTCAGTAGGACGATAGACTTACTGATTTCTTTTTAAAGATGTTGAGATTATTGCTTTGATGTCAAAGTCTTTTTTATTGTCTTTTTTCCTGTTTTAGGAGACGTCATGTATTTAAATCAACTTACAACCAGGGAATTGTTTTCAAATAACTTGAGGTAAGCTTTGAATAGAAATGTTTCGAAAGTAACAATCAAATCACACATTAAATTCATATTTTTGGGGGCAATATAAACATCAGAATTTTGGCTGTATGTGTAATATTTTTTCAAGCTTGGTGAAAAAAAGAGCAATATTTACAAATGAAAAAAAATAAACCCAACATCTTAATTTCTTCTTTCCATACTAATGTACATTGTATCAATACACATTTTTATAGAATTGTTCAAGTTATAGTACATTATCGCCAAGTAGTGCCTACTAGTGCCTACTAGTGGTGTTAATATATTGTAAAAAATGTTAGGGCATCTTTTTTCTAGCTTGACCACATGCACATTTTGCAAACTACACTTGGTAAAAATTGGCTCACAGCTTCAATCATACTAGAATTTGATTTCATTTTATGATTAACACTTTTTGCTGAATTTAAAAATGAATAGTTTTAAAATGACCTTTAATTAAAATTTCTTTACACGCATTAAGCTGAATGGAATACTAAAATATAAAAAATACTTGAGATGACACAAGACCTGTCTCCTACATTTCATTTTATACATATGATAGGGCGGTATGCCACTAGACCTCTTAGAGGCCCTTTCACCTCAATTTCCGAAGGAATAAAACCAGTCGCATTAAAAATTGTTCTCTGTCTGCTCTCAGAATTCCTATACCAGGTATACCCCGAATAGTTCAACATGACACTATACTGGACTCAGTCCACCCTCGAAACTGGTTGTAAAAGATGTTCATTGATTAGGTTAGCTTACAAGCATCAGCTGTAGGGAATTTCCCTTTAGCTCAGCGGTAGAGCATCGAGCTGGAGAGCCAAGGGTTGTGGGTTCAAGCCCCAGTTTTGGCACCATCTTTATCACTATTCCTCATCCTACTACAAATTGGTGACATTGACCCTCCCCGTTCAAGGTAGGAGAACCCTTGGCGGGAGTCAAAGAACCTGGGTTGGTATTAGAAGAAAGGGGGGAATAGTGTGAAAGATGTGCATAGATTAGGTTGCCTTACAAGAGTCAGCTGTAGGGAATTTTCGTTTAGCTCAGTAGTAGAGCCTGGGGTTGGAGAGCCAAGGGTTGCGGGTTGGAGCCCCAGCGACTTTCAAGATTCAAGATTCAAGAAGCTTTATTTAACGTCGCATATACATGTAACATAATAACATTAGCACTGTAGTGCTATTCTTGCGACAAAACATATATAAAATTTAACAAGGATCACAGTACTTATGAATAACTATAAAATCAGGACAACAATTCAAATTAGATATGCTAAAATTATACAGTAGAGCATATAATATCACACTTGTATGTCGCACAAGTGTTATGAAAGACAAGTTAAGACACTATATACTAGTGTAATGTACATATATGCTAATGTAGCAAAGTGTAAAAATTTACAGGATATACACTAATATAGTGTGAATTAAAAAGAGACAATGAAGTCATAAATAGAAACAAAAGCTATAATTATGATATTGTAAAAAAGTAATGATCTTTTAGATGATGGAGCTCAAATCTAAAATAAATATCAATTATATAATAAGTATATTACTGAAGTACATTAAATTAAATAACACAAGCAGCAGTGAAATTAAATTAAATAGTTGTTATATAAAACATGTAGGTAGATTCCAAAGGGGGACAACTCACACTATATGGTGTGTGCAGATAGCACATGAGCAGACATTTTTGTTCCAGGTGTGGAGCAGCCCACGAAACGACTTATAGTTTTCAGCTAATCGAAGTTCATTTGGTAGGCTGTTCCACACCTGGGAGGCAGCAAATTGGAAAGATCTTTTACCATATGTGGAGGTGTTCACCTTTGGAATCTTTACCAGGTTATCTTGTCTCAGATTGTAAAAAACTTCTTTCTGCACTATCTTTATCACTATTCCTACTACACTCTCTCTGGAATATTTCATACCAAAATTAAAGGCATGCTGCTAGCTATTTGATTGGTCTCAGGTAAAAAAAACACCTGACCAATCGCAGGCTGATACCTCTCCTTTATATATATTACGAAGGAGCTACACCCAACTTCAAAGTCTTCCTTGTCTCATCCAGAAGGTAAGCTTTTGATTTTGCTGTGACATATTCCGGGGATGCAGAGAGCAAAAGTGAGCGTAACCCTAGCATATCCAAGATGGACTGAGTCTAGTAGAATAAGCCTGCTGTATCCCACTGCATGGTTGTAAGAGGCAACCAGAGTGCCCCCCCCCCCCCCCCCCCCCCCCCCCCCCACTCTACAGAATTGAGGGTGGTTCCTTCCTTTTCTTCTGTTAAGGGGACACTGAGAGATCAATAATAGACCTGCTGTATCCCATTGCATGTGTATCGTAAAAGGCCACTAATGTAGGATCCCCTGCAGAAACAGGAGTTTTCTACTGTGTCTTTTACTGAGAGGACATTGAATGAAGAGACCAAAATTGATCTGCTGCCATCCATTGGAAGACCCTCATTATTTAGTTACCGTCATTGGAGCTGCAGTCTCTTCCTGCACCCTACCACACCTTCAGATTTGTTGCTTTGATCTTTTGCTGATTTCTAAATCTTCGTGCACTGATGAATAATTTAATCTATGCTCATGCTCAGACTTTGCATCATTATTTTCAACATGTTATATGCCTTCCATGTTCAGGTTTATAATCCAAAATTCTTTGTATTTGTTCTGCAGCGAGCGACATGAATATGCTGAAGGAAATGAAAGTTTATCTCAACTACAGAACTCACAGTACAATGAAATGATGACTCAAAATTCACAGGATGCTTTCAATTCTCAACAGCTATCCAGTGGGTCAGAAGTACAAAGTGTATGAAACTTTCTTAAACCAGCCTCATAGATCACAGATGCATTTTAGTACAGTACTATATAATATTTCTCATTTGTTGTGTCAAAATTGTCATACTTGAACAAAAATGTAATGACTCCTGATATACAATCAAAATTGTCTGATGATTTATTTACATTTAAATTAAATTTACTTTGTTATAGAAGTTAACAAATATTGTTCAATTCTCTTAAAAAATCTCTATTTTGTTCATCGTTGAAAGGTATAAAGTTTAAATAAAACAATATTCAATGGACACAATTGTGGAATTTGTTTTCCAGTCGCAGGGGCGCAGAAGATTCTTAGATAATTACATGTCTGTAAATGGTAACCATCAATCTAGAGGACATGGAAATATCCACCAAAAATCTTCGAAGAGTGATCACCCCAGCTCTGCTGTTTCTACGAAGTCTAATTTCCTACAACAGCTACAGTTTAACAAAGCCAAAGCAAGAGAACGAGATGAAAGGTACTGAACTTGAAAAACAATATTTTGTGCTTAACATATTGAAATAGAAGTATTTATATCAAATAAATATAGGGGCTCCACATTATCTGTCAGCTATGTCAATTTTAGAAAAGTGCTAAATGAGCCAAAAGCTTTTCATTTTTTTTTGACACATAAACTTCTAGTACCTGGTACTGTATTTGTTTTAATTTAGCAAACATCATCAGTAAATTTAGTTTTAAGTATTTTAATGTTCATATCATTCTATGTCCAAAATATCCCCTTAGGGAATTAATTACCATTGAGGTGCGTTGTTCAAAATGGGTCAGTGGGGCATGGGGGTATAATTGAGTCATTCAGAAGGGTCAGAATTTACCATTTACTTGTAGACTTGTAAATATTGAAACATTAGATTAAAATGACATGGATAAAAAAGTCTTGAAAATGTTTGAAAGGATTGTTTTATTTGCAGAGACCTGTTGAATGTGGTTGTAAAGACAGTAAAAGATTGTTCAGAAGATGTAAGCAATTTAAAATCTTAAGAAAATACACCTGATGTTCAGAAATATTACTGGTGTATTGTACTGGAATAAAGTTTTTGTTATTAGCCAGGATTCTATTATTCATCAAAACTAGCACCCATGCTCAATAGATTTTCAGTCAGGACTCACAGGGAAGACTATTGTTGCATTTTTTTTTTAAATCTGGAAGAAGCCTCATACTCTAAATTTGAAATGATACACTCATGTTAACAGACATTTTGTGAACAGGAATTAGGTTATTTGGAATCAGTAACCTGAAATAAAAAAACGCAATGCTTGATAGTGCAAGTAAATAGCAATGTATGCATATTGATAGTGAGATGGAAGTGTTTGACTTGCTTTAGTAACTATCAATTAGATAGAGTATTCATTTGTCTGAGTTGCTGTTGTTAGGTCATTGTTTAGATTTACTGTAGTTGTGCTCTTTATCATAATGATAATAATATGTCATTATTAAGCATATAAGGTATAATTGTTCACCTTACAGGTAAAGTGCACTATGAATAACATGCAAGATATCCTGAGTAGATCAACCAACACCACAGATGACAAACTGTCTGTAATCATGTCTTCAAGTAAGCAACATAACATGAATAAATTTATGAATCCAATGGTTTAGATACGTACGTTTGATTTTTACCACAAATATAATTAAAACAAAAGTAACTAAAACATACAGCATCCCATTCCAGGGGCCAGGGAACTTTGGTTCACCGTATTTCATGACTAAATTGTTGATTTATTTCATGAAAGAAAATCTGTCTGAACAATATTTTTATGATCACGCTTGCACAGTGAGTTTAAGACCATGATACTCACAAAGGCTCAATTTAGTTCCAGTTTGAGGTCAAATGTCAATAATTATTCTCATTTTTCAAGTCCTGTGAAGATCAGTTTATACCAAATAACAATTTGATAGTTAATATTTATGACCACCACTTGTACTGTACTACTTACTTACAAGGTGATCATCACTGCATTCTTAGGTGTTTTGAAAGAAAAACTATGTTGCAGTTTCACAAAATATACAGAAGAACTATGAGAAAATGATTGCTGCTGTACAGAAACGTGATCAGAAAAGCCATCAACAAAACATCTTGGAGCATGAAATAAAACAGGTCTGTTACTTGAATTTGTAATTAATTAAGACTTGTGAAAATTAAACTTGCATTATTGATCCATCAAAAGATGGGGAAATTTTCCCTTTTGTTTTTTAAGTAAGCCTATTAAACTCTTGAGGGTAATTGTGAAGGTGATTTTTATTCCTGCAAAACAATTTGACAGGCAGGGTCTATTTCTCAGGCCATGCTTTTGTTTGTAACTATAAGTAGCATGCAGAGCTTTCATTACTTCTTTAATTCTTTAAAACAATTGGAATATAGGCAAAGGGAAACAATTAATTTGCAATTAATTTTATATGTCCACATGAAGTGCAAAGCATATCATGGTTTGGCACTGTACGCCCGTCTGCCCTTCTCTCCATTCGTTCATCTTTCCATCCACAATATTGTGTTTGGCTCATAACTTTGTAACACTTGCTTGGATTCTTATTAAACTTCATAGGATTGCTGCCTGTAATAAATGGTGTGTCATGACCTTGCTAGAAGGTTGTATCCCCAAGTTCAAGGTCATGGGGCATCCAATAGAATATTGTGTCAGACTTATAACTTTGCAGTTCTTACTTTGATTTGTACTTTAAAGGATTGTTATCCATAATCCAAGAGTGTGTCATGACCTTGACCCAAAATGCAAGGTCATATTCCCAAGACCAATGTCATGGAGAATCCAAAATTTTTAACTATTTTTAGCTCACCTGGTCTGAAGGACCATGGTGAGCTTATGCCATACCGCAGCGTCCGTCGTCCGTCCGTCAACTTCTCCTTTAAAACGCTACTTGTCATGAACGGCTGAGCAGATTTTGACCAAATTTGGTCAAAAGCATCCTTGGGAGAAGGGGAACAAATTTTGTATAAATGGTGGGTCTGGCCCCCCTGGGGGCTGAGGGGCGGGGCTCAATAGGGGAAATATATCAAATTCTTTAATATCCTTCTTCTTCTGTATAGGTATGAAGGGATTTGTTCCATATTTGGTCTGAAGCATTCTAGGGTGAAAAGGAACCAATTTTGTATAAGCCATAGGTCTGGCCCCCCTGGGGGCTGAGAGGCGGGGCCAAACGGGAAATACAACAAGTTCTTTAAAATCCTTCTTCTTCTGTAGGAATAAAAGGATTTGTTCCATATTTAGTCTGAAGCATCCTTGGGAGAAGGGGAAACAATTTTGTATAAACCATGGGTGTGGCCCCCAGGGGCCTGAGGGGCGGGGCCAAATAGGGAAAACATAGCAAGTTATTCTTTAAAATCCTTCTTCCGTAGGAATAAAAGGATTTGGTCCATATTTGGTCTGAAGCATCCTTGGGTGAAGGGGAACCAATTTTGTATAAATTGTGGGTCTGGCCCCCTGGGGGCTGAGGGGCGGGGCCCCATAGGGGAAATATAGCAAATTCTTTTAAATCCTTCTTCTTCTGTAGGAATAAAAGGATTTGTTCCATATTTGGCCTGAAGTGTCTTGGGTGAAAGGGAACCAATTCTGTATAAACAGTAGGTCTGGCACCCCTGGGGGCTGAGGCGCAGGGCTAAACGGGAAATATATATTAAATTCTTTAAAATCCTTTTTTTTCTGTAGGAATAAAAGGATTTGTTCCATATTTAGTCTGAAGCATCCTTGGGAGAAGGGGAACCAATTTTGTATAAACCATGGGTGTGGCCCCCAAGGGGCCTGAGGGGCGGGGCCAAATAGGGGAAATATAGCAAATTCTTTAAAATCCTTCTTCTTCTGTACAACTAAAAGGATTTGTTCCATATTTGTTCTGAAGCATTCTTGGGTGAAGGGGAACCAATTTTGTATAAAACGTGGGTTTTGCCCCGCAGGGGCTTGAGAGGCGGGGCCCAATAGGGGAAATATAGGTAAAACCTTTATAATCCTTCTTCTACCATAGGGATTAAGGGACATTATCCTAATTTAGTCTGGAGCATCCTTAGGCAAAAGGGACTCAATTTTGTATAAGCAGTGGATGTGGTCTCCCAAGGGGCAGAAGGGCGGGGCCCAATATGAGAAATAGAGGTAAAACCTTTAAAATCCTTCTTCGACCATCGGGATTATGGTATTTTATCCTTATTTAGTCTGGAGCACCCTGAGGTCAAGGGGACTTAATTTTGTATAATTGGTGGGTATGACCCCCCCTAGGTTGCATTGGATTGGGGCTCTGTTTGAAGTTTGTTCTCGCTATATCTCAAGTACTGGATGGATCTTTCTGAAATTTCATATGTACTTACAGATCCTACTTCATACCAATTATTTTAAACATATTCAGGTGAGCGATACAGGCCCTCTGGGCCTCTTGTTTGATAGTGAACCAAGCATTGGTTCCAACTTTTACCTATGGTCATAATTTCAAGGTCAAGGTTATGAATCTTTACCATGTTGGAACTATGTCTGGGCAATACTTTTGAAGCAATGATGCCTGACGCATCCAGTCTGGCACACTGAAGGTCTCCTACAGAGCCCACAAAGCAATCTGATTTGCTTTATTATATTGATGATTAAAACATGTACCATGGTGCAAGCATAGTATGCAACCGTTCAACAGTGTCTATTATTTGATATAGGGTAGGATCCCCATACCACTGCAAAAACTGTAACTTTGAATCGGAAACTTTCCCCACGTGAAAAAAGCTTTAATAAGTCATTTTTAGCTCACCTGCCCGAAGGGCAAGTGAGCTTATGCCATGGCGCGGTGTCCGTCGTCCGTCATCTTTTCCTTAAAATCGCTACTACCGTAAAAACCCATGTAATTTGCGCACCTGTGTAATTTGAGCAGGTACTTTTTGAGGCTGAAAATCGGGAAAAAAGTTTCTACTCGAATATTTTGCGCACCCAAAAAATCTGGAAAAAAAACGATGTTCATGCTCCGAAAATCGATCTCTGAATATTTTTTTTTTATATATTTCTTATGATATTTATTTCATTGATGTAAAATGATATTAAAAACGACTGAGCAGATTTTGACCAAATTTGGTCGGAAGCATCCTTAGGGGAAGGGGAACAAATTATGTATAAATGGTGGGTGCTAAGGGGCAAATTCTTTAAAATCCTTCTTCTTCTGTAGGAATGAAAGGATTTGTTCCATATTTGGTCTGAAGCATCCTTGGTGGAAGGGGAACCAATTTTGTATAAACTGTGGTTCTGGCCCCTGAGGGGTGGGGCCCCGTAGGGAACACAAAGTAAATTCTTTAAAATCCTTCTTCTTCTGTTGGAATAAAAGGATTTGTTCCATATTTAGTCTGAAGCATCCTTGGGTAAAGGGGAACCAATTTTGTATAAACCGTGGGTCTGGCCCCCCCTGGTGGGGCCAAATATGGGAAACATAGCAAATTCTTTAAAATCCTTCTTATTCTGTAGGAATGATAGGATTTGTTCCATAATTGGTCTAAAGTATCCTTGGGTGAAGGGGAACCAACTTTGTAGAAACCGTAGGTCTGGCCCCCCAGGGACCTGAAAGGCGGGGCCAAAAGGGGGCAATTGGGCTATATTGATTTAAGCGACTTCTTCTCTGGAACTAAGAGATGAATATCAACCATATTTGAATGGAGAGATAAATATCAACCATATTTGAATGGAAGCATCCCTCGGTAGTGGAGATTAAAAATTGTACAAATGGTTGGGCTGACCTCCCAGGGGGCTGAGGGGTGGGGCCAAAAGTGGGATATATGGCTATATTGCTGCAAACAACTTCTTCTATAAAACTATGCACTGGATATCAACCATATTTGACTGGAAGCATCCCTAGGTGGTGGGGATTCAAAATTGTACAAATGGTGGGGCTGACCCCCAAAGAAAGTGTATTACTTGGAAATGGTTGAGATCCCCACGGTATAACCATCCACAATTGTTGAGTATAAAATGAAGCATGCACATTTGCTTCCAGAATGGCCTAGGGTTTGGCCTCACCCTTTGAGACATAGTCCCTGGGTCATTACTTTGAAACGGTTGAGATCCCCACTTCAGAACTATATATACAAATGCTTGGCATAAAGAGACAAAAATAGTCATGGTATTAGAATAGACCCTGGGGTCTGACCGAACCCCTAGGGACCTAGTTACTTAGTCACAGCTTGGAAACAGTTGAGATCCCCACCCTATAACCATGCATATATACAATTGCAGAGTAAAAAGAGATGAATGCACATATGCTTCCAGGATACCCTTGGAGACTTAACCCCTGGGTCATAACTTCAAAATGGTTTAAGATCCCCACCCCAAAACTATATATACAATTGTTGGGCATAAAGAGACGAATGCAGTCATGATATTGGAATTGATCCTGGGGTCTGGCCACAACCCTAGGGATCTAGTTTCTGAATCACAGCTTGGAAACAGTTAAGATCCCCACCCCATTATTGGCAAAACCATACATTAAATTGCTGGGCATAAAAAATCTAATACAGACATACAAGAATTGGCAGTGGGGTCTGGCATATTCCCTTGGATCTCATTTGGAGAATATTTTGCCATGATTGCCTAGATATCAAGGTTAGTGATACAGGCCCTCTGGGCCTCTTGTTTATAGAAACTCATACCTTTGTTTTTTTTCTGAAAAAATTGTAAGGATGAAAAAAACATAAAAGATATCGACAACATTGTTCTGAGTGTAAAAATGCCCCAAGTTTGATCCAATGAGAGTAGCATGGCCCATAACAATACTCCTTAAGCTTGATTTTGTTTCCCCCAGAAAGTTGACAGAATCCAAGAACTAGAACAACAGGTAAAAGATGCACATGAAATGGGATTTAGAAATGTCGTCCAGTCAATGAAGGAAGTTGTAGACCAGCATCAGGCTGTGACCAAGGAGAAACTGGAGAGGCTTTCAGACATTACTTCTGAGCTACTGGATCATCAAAAAGAGATGATTCACCAGCAGAGAGAGGGACAGGATCAGCAGCACCAGCTACACCTTGAAGTTCAGGATGCAGTAAGAGCACAGACAGGCACAGATGATAAACGGTAAAATGGATATATGAGGGAGAATTAAATTAAAACAGCAGAAAAACCCTGTTGATTACAACAATGTATAGGATACAAAAGAAATTGTTTCTAATAGTTTACTGGTTTATTCCTGATTTTGTCATATAGCTGATGTTCTGAATCAAACTTTGATTACAGTCACCAGGTAAGCAGATATTCACAATTAAATCATGATCTATCAATTCAAAACAATAAAAAGCTGAAAACATATTCCTTTTCAAACACTAAGATTTCAAAAGGACTTTTATATGAAATGTATTAAACCACAAAGTATATCTGGCAATTATAGTGTATTAGAACATCTATTTTTCAAAATTAATTAGGGATTTAATCTTGCAATCACTTAAAATGTTTTGGTTCCATGTTTCATTTCTGTTCTCATAAAAGATATTACCAACATATAATGTATTAAAGAATGTTCAAATTTTAAGTGCAAACAAAGGTGAAAAGTGAACTTGTAAATATCAGTTGAACTTAAACAAAGGTGAGAAGAGAACTTGTAAATATCAGTTGAGCTTAAACAAAGGTGAGAAAAGAACTTGTAAATATCAGTTGAGCTTAAACAAAGGTGAGAAGTGAACTTGTAAATATCAGTTGAGCTTAAACAAAGGTGAGAAGAGAACTTGTAAATATCAGTTGAGCTTAAACAAAGGTGAGAAGTGAACTAGCTTGTAAATATCAGTTGAGCTTAAACAAAGGTGAGAAGTGAACTTGTAAATATCTTGAAATTCAGCTTAAACCTACTGCTTTAGAGGTTGATTGTTCCAGGTACTTTTACTGATTAGTTAAGACCTTTTTGTCAATATTTAACCTGAGTTCATTTCCTTTTACCTTTTGTACAGTGTTTTAGATGAACTATTGATACTGCGACAAGAATTGGATCAACACAAATATGAACTAGAGAATTCTTGCAGGGAAAAAGTATATTCAACACAGAGACAAACTGAGGATCTCAAGAAGTTCATGCGGGTTGGCTTTGAAGATAATGTACAGGAGAGCATCGAACAGTCTAAACAACTGTATGAGAACCATTGTCAGCAGTTGAAGGAGAATATCAATACACATCAAGACAACATAAAGAGCTTCATTGACCAGAAGTTTAAAGAAAAGTCAGCAGAATCTTCAGAAAAAAACTCTTCATTGAATACTGAACATGAAGAACCCTTGTGGATTGGGAAAAATAGACAGAGATTTTCTGACTATCATGAATCTGTGCCCAAAAAAATTCAGGATCAGTTGAATGAGATGCATAACAACCATATTAAAGAAATTGAAAGAATAAGAAAGGAAATAAACCAGAGAAATGAAGAGAGCCAAAGTAAGAGAGACTGTCAACTCCCCCCTGGAAGATCAGGTATGCTTCATTCTAAATTATTAGAGTTTCAAGAAATGGAGAATGACAACCAGGACAAAGGTCTTAATTTTATAGCATTTGAACATGGTAAAAAATCTTCATTCATTTCACCTGGTAACATTAGGTCATCAGGTTGGACAGCAAAACAGCTGTTCAGTAAAACTAATCCATCTCCAGTAGCTACAGTATACCCACAGCGAAAAGAACAGGAGATATCAAATAAACTGTATGCTAATGACAAACAATCTCAGTCTTCTGATGAACAGAAACAAGCACCAAAGTCCAAACCTAGAGGAAGTGCTCAACCTCAGCGAAGGTCACAAAGGCTGTTGGAAACAAAGGAAACTGCAATGGAAGAAAAAGGACAGGATTCTCATAATAACTACACTGAGCAGAGAAATTCCCAGAGAATTTCAAGCATGCAAAGTGCTTGTCAAGAAGATGGCAGACAAGAAGGAAGTGGTAGCTATGATAGCAACATGTCGTACCAACAAAGAAGGCAGAATAATCCACTCGGGATGCCACAGCTTGAGTCAAGGCATACATCACATCAAGAACAGAAGCGGACATCTCACACAGAAAAAATGCAAAATGGAAGGCAAGAACCAAGACAGGTCATGACACTGGATAACAGGCAAACATTCACTCAGGAACCACAGCAAGAATCCAAGAAGCATATTATTGGGCAATGGAACACAGAAGAAAACTATAGCAAATCAACAGGCAACCTTCGAAATACAGACAAATGCACCTACAGCAGAACTCCAAGACAGAGTGGCTTCAAGGCTCCAGAGGGTATATTGAGAGTCAACACTGTTAAATCCAATGTACAATGCTATTCTCATCCAGCTGTATCTCATAAAACTGCATCAGTGTACGACTTCAGCGATGAAGTGTCAGCTGTAAGATGCCATCAGAAACCAAGTATTGCAAATCCACGGTCTGGGTCATGCAACTTCATCAATTCAAGGTAATGGTTGTGGAAACGAAGCATGCAGCTTCTGGTATATAACAATTACATTTTAATTTCTGCATCCTCTAGAGTATGTTTCCATATTTGTTCATCAATGAGACAAAGTAGTTTAAAATAGGAGATGGCCAAAAGGCCATGAATGAGGTAAGAAATCTGCCCAGTTATTTTGAAGCAAATGTAGATGTCATTGAAAGCAAATCAGCCCATTAAACCTCTTTTACCGGACCCCTCAGCCCCTGGAGGGTCAGCCTCTCGACCTATTCATAACTTTTGATCCCCAAGGAGTAAGAAGGTTATTACTACAATTAGGTTGAAATCTGCCCATTAGGAAATATATCATTTAAACCACAAACCTACATGTATCTGAATAAATCAACATTTTTCCATCAGTCCTGTTTCTTAACAGATTGCTTATAACAAATCCCTAAAATTAAATTACATTATATACATTAGCTATTCTTCAAATTTTCTTTTAATCTTGTGTTTCATAGGGAATTGCACGGTCAGCGTAATGAATACAGCCAAGATATGGTAAGTTGAGATTCAATGTGCAATGTATGTATGTATACATGATTAAGGACTAATGCAAGACTAGATACAGCTATCTGGCAAGTCTCTCTATTTGAGTCAAAGATTTGTATTTTCACTTTGAAATCAGGTTAATCCTCTACATTTTGGTTTTTGCTCAAATTCAATTATCTCTTTGCATTAAAATAGTTTAAACTATGGTATTTTGACTCCACAATTATTTTGTCATTGTAAGTACTTAGTTTTTGCAACAGTTTTCTCCCATAATTTATTTGAAGTTTTACAGACATATGAAAATTCAAATTACAGATTTGATTCTTTGCCATGTTATGTTTCCATGTTATCTAATTAAGGAATAAAACAAATTGAGAATAATTCTTAAACATATAATATGTCCCTAGAGTTATATGGAAACCAAACCATCTATATATCGCTGAAAACCTGGTTTCACTGCAGCAACACATACCAGCTGGTAACTATTCAAACAAATCCGATTTCAGTCCAGCAGTAGAGAGTCCTCGCCATCACTCTCTGTAACAAAGATTGTCATCCAGCGGAAAGTAAAGAGAGACAGAAATCCAAGCTATCAAACATTGGAAGCAGGTATGCTGATACATAACAATGTTGTTTCATTTTTTGTTACCTGCATCAATCCTAGGTTCCAAACGAATATAAGTACACTATTTTAAAACAAATTCATCTTCTGGTAGCCCTAGCAATTTTGGCAATACTGTATACTTGTGATTGTTGACACCTATGACCTCAGGTGATGTTGACATCTATCAGACTTCTGGGGCCACTCTGCCACAGATGAAGATCATTCCGTATTTCAAGGCCAATCCTCTTATTAGATAGGCTTAAAATTTCTACCCCATAACATCATTATTATGTCTCCCCTTTGAATAAAAAGGAGACTTTAAAGAAAAGGGTCCTTTGGATCGTCTAATAACGTATTGTCTAGGCCTTAAGTTTAAAACTGTTGAATACATTTTGAAGAAGTTTGAAATATACCTGCATGTATTAATCACCAAGACCTTAACCTTTAGGTTAAAGTCAAAGTGCAAAGTTTTCAAGGTCATTCAAGGTCAAAATGTATATTACTTATTTAGTTTAAACAGTTTTTAATTTGCTTGATTGTTTTATTCAAAATGACATACTAAACTAAAGTGAAGGAATAAGGGAAGAAGATATACTGTACATCTATTGACTGCAACTATTAAGAAATATAAAATATATAAACTTTTGAAATGAAATATATACTTTTAAATTTACTATTATTATAAATTCATGTATAAGTACTAGTACATACTTATATTAATTCTTAATAATTAAATAATCCAATGTTTGACAGTTATTGGTATACAGCTGGTATCTTTATTCTTACTAATCATAGATTACAGTCGAGCTACTCAGTTATGGGGATAGATTAACCATTTACGAAACAAAAATGTTGCAACCCAGCCATTTTTGCCACGAACAGAGGTAATTGGACTATCTAGGCTAAACTGTATCATGAAATTAAGAATTTTTTTTATCTTTGTAACATTTGTTCTTCAGCTGCCAAAAAATTAGATAATAGCCAGGGTCAATATAAGGAGTATGATGATGATTTGCTCAGCATTCTTGGGTCCTTCAAAGATCAGGACAATTACAACAAACAGGTAAAACATTCCTTAAATATAATTCATTGAAATCGTGTGATTAAATGTAGTAACCCCATTGGTGAAACAGCAAAACAGTTTTTATATGCCTGTCTAATTTTCCATGGGACATATTATGGTGTGGGGAGCAACTATCTGTCTGTTAACACCTTGGTTTCAGCAAGTAAACTTAAATATATTTGGATTTTGATGCAACTTGCAATTGGTAAGCATGTACGCTATACGATGGACACTGGATGGACATATCTTGTTTCGCCCCTGCAGTACTCGTTTGGTTCCATTCTGGAAGAAAACTCTTTATCACATTAGGTCTTTTATAATAAAAGGTTCTTTGAGTACAACAAAAATATTTTAGGTTACGAAGTCAATAGAAGGAAGTTTGCAAAATGTTTTCAAGTTAAGATGGAGAAGAACCTTAAAATCTTTCAGAATGGCCTAGCGATTGACGGTTTTACTATGTGCTGTCAGATTTTAAGGTTCATCCAAATCAGTTATTATATATAAACTTGCTTTAAGTAGATGGTATTGTTGAAAAACATTGGAATTCAACTTAAGGCAATAGGATTGTGTCGCCATTTCTCAGTAGAATTTATTCAAATTTTGTAGGTATACTGCTTTGAAGTAAAGAAAAAATTTTGCCACAAAAAAAGTATAAGTTGTCAGAGTTTTAAGGATTTTAAAAGGAAACTTATGTAAAAAGGAGTGAATTTTGAAAATAAACACACATTTTTTTGTAAAATAATGTCAATAAAAATGATACAAACATAGATTAGTATTGCATTAATGTATATCAATTTCATAAATGCTGAAATTGTGTACAATTAATTATCTATAAACAATTTAAAATTGACATTTTATAATAAAAGCATATACACATAGTAATTGCATGCAAGAGTTATCGTTCTTGAAAAACTTCACAGTAGTGAAATAGGTAGCCGGTTTCTGAAGTACAGAAAAATGGACACATGTGACTCATTGATTAAAAGACAACTGAATTAATGCCTGGATTGCTTTGCAATTCTTTCATATTGAATCAACACACCGTTCTGTCAATAATAAGCATACAATATTCATCACTTTAATATTAAACATTAGATTATGCGGAAATTGTGATACTGTCTCCCTACATTGGATTTTCAACTAGGAATGTACTTCCTATTTCCGTTTAGCAATACACTCCTATGACCTTAAATTATGTTTACACAGGTACAAAGTCAAAAGAATTATTGAATTTATTTCAAGTATGCTTTATACATATCCATTCTGACTAGGTCTATTACCATAATAAACAATTACTAATGCTAAAGTACAGGATTGTATTTCTTTTCAGCCAAAGCAAAGTCACTGCCAGAGGGGAAACAAGCGTCCTATAGCCGACTACAGTTTTGGTACAACCTATGCTCAAGTGACAGAGTCTATCCATAAGAAACGCAAACACATTCTTTAGAAATTGGATAGTTGTCTTCAGCAAACACCTGATTCATTGCATACCAGTGAACTACCGGTATCAATTTTATTGCTTTGTTTCTTAACTAATGTAAAGCATACTTTATTATAGATTTACTAATCATTTGAATTCAAACAAATTATATATTGTTTTAGCTGAAATAAGTGATAATTTAACATTGGTTTCCTACAGGTTTGTGTATCTTATTGAGGTCAAGTCAGTCATTTTATATTTGAAAGAATCAGTTAATTTTGACGTTGGTCCAGTCGTTTGTTTATAGCCAACATGTAAATTCCAAGGATTATTTAAATGTAAGAACTCATGGTGTTGATTATGTTGGATATGGTACTGTAGCATATTTTATAACCATTTTCTCATAAAAAGTACGTTATTAGCAGCTCTCAGTTTGTCAACATTATTGGTAAAATCATTGTTCATACTTTGTAATAAACACTGATGTACTGAACTTCAAAAATACATTGTTGTACTATCTTTATACTGAAAGTGTTCATGTTTTATTATTATTAAAGGGTTATTGAGCTCAATCAAGTCCAGTTGCTGAACCTCCTTATTCCAACAGTTGTCAGATAAAAAAAAAAAAATGTCTGTAATGATGTGGTACAAATCTGTTCTCCAGAGGATTTAGAAATAATTAGAAATATGTTGATCTGACATTAATGCCGCCCACTCTGCTCTACATGTATATCAAGTGAAATACATGATTATTATTAATACTTTTTACCTTTTCAAAATTTAACCTAAGCATATAAACATTTGATAGTTTTTTGGGGGTTTTACATCCTATTAATAGCTATGGTCATTTAAGAACGTGCCAGGGTCAGGTGGTGGAGGAAAGCTTGAGTTCCTGGAGTAATACCACCGACATACGGTCAGTACCTGGCGACTGCTCCACGTAGGTCTCGAACCTGTGACCCAGTGGTGGAGGGCTAGTGGTAGCAGAATGTCAGAAACCTAAACCACCGTGGCCCCAGCAAGTGTTTTTCCCCTAATCATTGCTGTGCTTTGAAGCTGTTTTAGAACAAACAAACTAGTATCATTTTTTAGACATATTCTTGTCTTTATGATCAGGCAAATACAATGTTCTGTTAATGCTTTTGATCTGTGTGATCAACACTCAATTTATGTCAGGGGTACATTTGTTTGTGCATAATGATGTATACTGCATCAAGGCACCTCGTAGCATCAAGTAACCCACTTTCATTTTCCTATTCATTAACAAATACCACTTCGTCTGATCTCAGATCGTGTGACCAGCATTTCCTGTGCAACCTGGCATTCAAATATAAGCCGACTCAAAGTATCAAAATTTAAAATTCTATGCAAAATTAGGTTAGTACAAAAATTTGAGTAAAATAACAAATTTTATGCTAAAATTGTTTTGAACACAAACAGTAATTAAAAACTTATTTTGCAATCTTTTGAAAATGTCTGTTTCCTTTGTCAAGCAGAGAGTGCAATGACCAGTGCCTCCACTCTTAAACAACTGAATACAAAATGAGACCTTTCAAATAGCACTCTTAACACTGCAGGCAGTCAGAGGTACAGGCAACATGTTTACCCATTCTACCCATTAATGAATGTTAAATGGGCTTATAAATATGACTCGGTCAAAAAAGTTGTTTACAAAAGCTTGAAAAATAAGTTTTCAGTTACTGTTTGTATTCAATACATACTTCGCATTTATTATTCATACCAATCTGAGGAATTCTGAATAACCTGTGATCCTTTTATTACATTGGCAATCATAGCATCATGTCTATTGTTTTTGAATGTGATGTTACATTGCTTTGAGGTTAAGGCTGTTGTGTTATTGTGCTTCCTATATTACACGAGGTTATGTGCAAACCCTATGACAATATGAGAGAAAAATTGTTTGGTTCAAAATATTTTATTGGCATGCCTCAATAGTTTTAGAATAAACAAATAACTTTTACACATATGATTTTCATTTATCCAAAGAAAAACATAGTTGAAATCCACCACCAGGGTGTCTGACATCATATACCAGAACTAATTCTTACATATCTTGTTCCAATGAGGGTATTTGTTAAAAAATGGTTTTAAAAAATTAAAAAGGAATGATTGATGAAATTTGTTTGCAAGAAAAATTGCAAACAGTTTTTTTTGGTATACAGAATACTTGGTCATCCCTTTATTACAGATCTTAATCTGCATGCCAGAATATTTCTCTTTGTGTAAATTTATCACCTTTGCTTTATAATCAAACCTTACTTAAGAGATTCTCCACAATAGCTTTAATCAGCTATTCAGATTCCCAGTGCAAGGTACATAGGACTGTTCCATTGAAGAACCATTTTGTCTAAACCTTGGCTGGTCAAATGTGTGTTTCCCTATAATTACATTTAATTGTATACAAACATTGTTTGTCAATAGTCAAATTCAGCATTTATGTCTCCAACATATTCACATATGCTGTCGTAGGATATCTTGAGGACTTCGTCTCGGTTTCGCAGTAGCTGGACAAGTGCCATACAGTTTGACTTGTCCCGCTTCATCAACTCTGCTAACTGAAAAAGATATAAATTGCAAAATTAAAAAAAAAAAATGAAGGTATAATCATAACTATGCAGTATACCTGTTTATTATGCAAAACAACTAAGAAAAAAATGTCTTCAAAATTATAGAAATATTGTCAATAAGCTTAAGGCAGCTTGATAAAATGATACCCAGTGAACGAAGGGCTATAACTCTGTATGTTAATGGGACACAAACATTTTCAGTATCCAAGAATCTGCCCAATTCATAGAGTACTCCCACTTACAATTTCAAAATTGTTGATAAATACGTAAATGAGATATGCTTCAGACAAATTAACACATGAACAGACTGACAAATGAAGTGAAAAACCTTATAGTTCTTTTCAGTAGCACCTAGGAAACTAATAAACTTTATTTAAAATTTACACTTCTGAAGAAAATCTTCAACCAATCAAAAAAGAACTAATTCATCTCAGACTTAGTATATTCATCTTGAAAACGAACCTGTCCTTTCCATTTCCCAGTGACCAGCTGTACAAATGATGGTTCTGATTTGGGTATCACAGTTTCTAGCATTTCTTGTGAAAGACCTACAAAATTCAAACAGTAACATTTACATATGATAATATATATAACGTATATAATAGTAAAAGTATGTAAAGAACTGGTAGATGTCCTTTATTAAATCAGCATTAAGTTAAGGTTGTTGATCTTGGCTGTTTTTACCAATTTAGCGAGCCTATGGCGAGCTAAAATGAAAAATTTGTGACAAGTTTCCTACAATGTCATATGAAATGAAAACGAGTAAAAGATCCTTTTCATCACATGATCAAGATTTGTGGCATTTATTCGTGTCAAAAGACAATTGTCATGTAACCTTGAAATGTAAAAAGCTGTCATTTTGACTCAATTGCCTAAGTCTGTGACTTCATGTACTTGTCCTAGGCGTGACGTCACAATTGAAACTTACAACCAATCACAAGTCTGATAGGTCATATTACATGGGTTAATACGCAAAATATGGGACATGGGTATATTCACTGGATAACACAGTACATTATGTGATGAAACAGAGTATGAAACTATGAATACCTTCAAGTACATGGCCATCGTCTGTCCTGCATACACAATTATCTGGACCAGGAACATCTATTACTTCAACCTGTAACAATTAAATAGCAATTTTCATATTATTATTTCTAATCAGGATCTAAAGATTAATACCAAAATTAAGAGATATCACATCATGAAGTTTTAACAGAAATTAATGTGATTATTGATCCAGAGTGATTAAATATGCATGAATGTCTTCAGACTGAAAAAAGACACAGGATGGATACAAAAAATCTCAAACCAAAAATACCACTACATATTTATCCACAATGAAAATCATTGCTTATAATATAAGCTTAAGACATGCCTGTTAAATGAAACCCATATTAAATGTTCAATGATACAAACACTAACCTCAGCTTTCTCAACCTTTTACAATATTCTAACCTTGCAAGGCTCAGCAAGTTGTGTAAAAATAGGGACAATTCCATGACAATGATAGAGAAATAATATCAAACTAAAAACTAGAAACTAGTAAATTAGTTGAATTTATACTTAAATTGTTATTAAATTGAAATGTACAGAAAATGTGCTGTTACATATATATATATATATTTATTATAAATCAGAAAAATGATCCTTACGGACGAATAAATATTATATAAAGAAAAATTCTTAACGAGCCTTTAGTTCTTTCATCTGATCTATTTATATATATTAAGTATTAAAAAACTTGCTAATCTGGAAACTTGTATAAACCACACTCTCAGTTACTTATATACATGTATATATATATATATTTATATATAAATGTAAATCAAGAAAATCTTGCTGCAATTACTTTTGTAATCCATAATGAGGGCAAATTATCATGTTTGTGAATTTTGTATACACTCCATACGAAGTTATTCCACAATAAAGGCAGATATTAACGCTAGGCTAACATTGACAGTTACAAAGGCAGTTATAGTATTTTGCCTACAAAAAAAGTAATATTGATTACAAAATGAACTAACCACCTTTAATTATCTTTAGTCCTTTATCTTTCCTATTTCCAAAAATACGGTATCTTTTATGGACATAAACATTTTTGTTTATCCTCATAAATCCACCAATACCTTACCTTTGTATTTAAGTATTTCCCCTTTTTGTATTTGTCATCAATCACTCTGACCCTTAGCTGTGGACATATCCAGAATGAGGCTGGGGAACTTTCTTTGTGACCGTTGCTGCTGCCATATTGGTCCTGACAGTAAGATCTATAGGAATGATAAAAAAGGAATTATTAGGAATTCCAAAATGCATAAAGAAAATTTGTATATATGTTTCCTTCTGAATCATAAGGATATTCCACACAGATGATTATTAAAAGCAATTTATAGATTATGTTTAGAGTCAATCGATGTAGGCCATTTGATATTCTGAAAGTGTTTTGTACACGCTAATATTGTAGATTACCTGTCTTCTTTGTGTTTTTTCTTTTTGCTGTCTGATGTATCCTGGTGGTCCCTGTTGTCCCTGTCTCGCTTCCTCTCCCTGCGATGTTCGTCCTCCTGCAACCTATGGTTTCTGCTCCCGTGGCGATCCTCGTGTAATCTCTGGTTCCCCCTGTCTGTTTCCACGTCTGACCCCTGGTCCCTGTTGTCTCTGTCCTCCTTCCATCGGTCTTTCCTTCCATCCTCTCTGTTTCTCTGGTCATCACGATGTTGATGCCTCTCTCTGTCTTTCTTGTTCCGTCTGTCTTCCTTATCATGTCTATCCTTTTTGTGTCTGTGACTTCCTGACTCGTGCCCTTGCGATTTATTTTCCTGCTCTTCCTTATATTTGTCAACTTTGCTTTTGTCTGTAACAAAATTTACAATCAGTAACAGAATTAGTTTTATAATCTGCGAGAAAAATCCTGCTTTATCAAATAAAAACATAATTGTCGTTAATGTATTTTTCAGGAAATCACACCCGAAAAATGTTTCCTTGAAATGAATATCTTTAGTCTTGGTTTGCACCAAACTTTTAAATTCAAATGTAATGATGTTTATTTTGAAATGCCACTCAAAAATCTAGAAATTTCATAATACTTAATACACTAGATAATGTTCAAATGATGAAATAGCACTTTAAAGTTAAAAGAGAACTATCTAGGATAAGCAAGTGTACACTACAAGGATAGGGATACACATTTTTTTGTTGGAGCAGGGACAATAATCACTCACTCAGGTATTTTGAGTATTTCGAGTACTCCTTCTTGGTGACAAGCTTGAGAGAGTGTTGACTGTTTGTGATCATGAGTCCACTGACTGCTAACTTGACCATGCATCGAGCATTGTCCTCGTCTAAGCCTTTTATCTGTAAAAAAAAAATATAATAACACTGAAGTAAATTCACAACCCTGAAAATATAATTTACAACTAAATTACAAATCAAAACGATTTTGTGAGAGAGGCTTCAGATTTGGTTTTAAATGATAAGACTATGACTACAGGCTAATGTCTGTTTCAAAAACTCGGTCATGAAAGGTTTATGACATAAAACCTATTTTACATTAAAAAGATTATATAAAACTGTTCACAAATATAATATAAATTCAGATTTGGTTTTAAATGATAAGACTATGACTACAGGCTAATGTCTGTTTCAAAAACTCGGTCATGAAAGATTAATAACATTAAACCTATTTTACATAGAAAAGATTATATAAAACTGTTCAAAAATATATTAAACAGTAACACTATATCAAAATAATCTCATATATTTCTGTGTATGAAAACAAAAACTGTGTTTGAGTTGTAACAAGCACTCCTCTTGGAGAATACATTACATTGAGTTGTAACAAGCACTCCTCTTAGAGAATACATTATATGAGTTGTAACAAGCACTCCTCTTAGAGAATACATTACATTGAGTTGTAACAAGCACTCCTCTTACAGAATACATTACATTGAGTTGTAACAAGCACTCCTCTGAGAGAATACATTACAATGAGTCGTAACAAGCACTCCTCTTAGAGAATACATTACATTGAGTTGTAACAAGCACTCCTCTTACAGAATACATGACATTGAGTTGTAACAAGCACTCCTCTTACAGAATACATTACAATGAGTCATAACAAGCACTCCTCTTAGAGAATACATTACATTGAGTTGTAACAAGCACTCCTCTTAGAGAATACATTACATTGAGTCATAACAAGCACTCCTCTTAGAGAATACATTACATTGAGTCGTAACAAGCACTCCTCTTACAGAATACATGACATTGAGTTGTAACAAGCACTCCTCTTAGAGAATACATTACATTGAGTCGTAACAAGAACTCCTCTTACAGAATACATTACATTGCGTTGTAACAAGAACTTCTCTTAGAGAATACATTACATTGAGTCGTAACAAGCACTCCTCTTAGAGAATACATTACATTGAGTTATAACAAGAACTCCTCTTACAGAATACATTACATTGAGTTGTAACAAGAACTTCTCTTAGAGAATACATTACATTGAGTCGTAACAAGCACTCCTCTCACAGAATACATTACATTGAGTTGTAACAAGCACTCCTCTTACAGAATACATTACATTGAGTTGTAACAAGCACTCCTCTTACAGAATACATTACATTGAGTTGTAACAAGAACTCCTCTTACAGAATACATTACATTGAGTTGTAACAAGAACTTCTCTTACAGAATACATGACATTGAGTTGTAACAAGCACTCCTCTTACAGAATACATTTCATTGAGTTGTAACAAGCACTCCTCTTACAGAATACATTACAATCAATATTGCATCTTATGCTTTTATCTGAAAATATACTGATGTATTTACTTCTGAACCTATTCAATATAAACCTAGTTTTTTTTATCCTTTTCTATAAAATTCTATATCAATTCCAAAGGCATGATGTTTTACCCACCTCTCCGTAGCGGTCCTGGTGTGGCCCCCTCTGTATCATACAGTAAGCTCCAATCTTAATAGCCAATTGGTCATCATCCTGGTCGCCATTGTCTGTCCCACCTGCCTTGGCGTTGTTTAGCTGTGCTGCCTTGCTTCTGTCAGCTCCAAGACCAAGGCCCTTAGGCCTCAACTTGGCCTCGATTGGGACAATTGTCCTTAAATAAATAAGCAGATGTTAAACTTCACAACCAATACATGTATTTCAGAAACTTGAATAAATTATACTTCAATTTCAAAGGTGATATTTCTCGTATACCAGGTAATTGAAGCAACAACTTCTAATGCTCAGGGAGGACTTTTCTCTCACTACTATATTATCACTGAATTAAATACAAGTATCTACATATATATATCTGCATCTTTCAAAATTGGTCTTTGAGGTCAATGTTTCCCTTATACCTACTTTTGTTCATTGCGATCGTCTATGCGTCTACAGTTATTATTTGATAACTTATTGAGGACCTATTCAGGGTGTCGGCTTATTACCCATATGGCGGTAATACAGATTTCTGTTAGCAAGGATCCTTTCAGATAGAAAAGCATACCACAGGCAGAAGTACATATTTCTGACAAGTTATATCCAAAGTCAGGTAAATTAATCTAGGAAGTTGTAACTGTAGGAGACTATGTCTTAGGAGAATACTGTATCTGGAAATGTTACCCACAATTCATCTCTGCCCTTTTGGCCCTCAAAAATATTAATGTGGACAAATGTATCATGATAATGAACGCAAAAAAAATGACTGCATATTATATCCAATGTAGAACACAATATATTAAATACTGGGCTGATATATATATGGTATATGAAAACTTAGTTAAAATGAATAGTACAATTAATAGATACACTTACTGTTTACTTTTCCCAATACCTTCTCCATCCTTCCATCCCATCCCTCTTAACATGGCGACCCCAAAGTGATCAATGGGAATCTCATCATAGTCAACATCAACCTGAAAATCAAACAGCAACAATCTGTTTATTGAATGAAATTATGTAATCTGGTTATCTCATCATCAAGCTAGTGTTATTGTAGACAGACTGTCATTTTTTCTATAAACCTTGTCTCAGTCATTCAGCTGTCATAAAACCCATCACTTCTACTGGGAATGAAGGTGTTTGGATTATGGAGCAATGTACAGCAATGGATGAAAGTGTTCTTACTTTACTCATTTGCTTCAAAGATTAACGGATAAATGTGTCTGAAATAGATATGGAATTTGATCATGCAGATAAAGATTTTGAAAATGATACAATTAAACATTATTTTGACACTGAACAATTTGTTTTACCTCAACATGTTATTATTCCAACAATGAATGAAGAAGTAAATGTAAGAATGTGATTTACCTCATCCGGTCGTAGGGCAACATTCAATTTGTCATCCGTCTCGTATCCTTCTGGTACCTTATTCCTCATTATCAGAGGAATAGAAACATTAGGATCAATCTTTCCACGGTCTTCCCAGCCGTCATTTTGTTTGGCTGCATCTGGAAATAGCACAATAGCATAATCAATACAGGTGTACGAATATAAAACATTTGCAAGACATCAATGGGAAGTAAATTCTGCTCTCTACTGGACCAAGGGAAGCAACTTCTGTTCTATACTGGAACACAAGTCAACCTGCAGGGTACTGCATAAATGTTTATGCAGGCCTTGCAAGGCTCTTCTGTAAGCAGCATCAGATTACTAGGTCCAACCTTATTTAATAAACAAACAACTGTGGTTCGACCGGTTCAACAGTTTAAACGAAAACGGCCCTGGTGTCAAACTAAGATAAATTTTATTTTTCCTCTAAAAGCTGCATACAATGTATCATTATGACTATTTTCTACATTTTTGTGTGACAACTAGTTTATTTCAACCTTGTTGGAAACAATTTAATTAAGAGGTGACATTGTGAAGAGTTCTTAGAATGTCAGTAAACAAATTTGAAAGTACTCCTACTACAAAATATTATATTCATAAATAGATCATGACATATTATTCCTACTTCATGCAAATAAATGACTTTTTGAATCAATACAGTATAAAAGATACTCATTCAAACTTCTTTCACTTTTATAGACCAATTTAATCAGATCTAACATCCTATTTCTTTGTATGAAATCAGAATACCCTGAACAAAAGGAAGTAACTGTCAAGCAACACTTAGGAGATAGTATAGTGATACAATGAACATCGTATTCTGAATACCTTGAATGAGTTCCTGTACTGCCTGATCATCTATTCCGGGTTCTTGTGGTGTCCCATTACTATCTGGTCTGCCTCTCTCCTTTTCCTGTACTGCCTTGACATCTGTTTGGTCTGTGTTAGACACCCTGTTACGATCGGCCCCAGGGAGCCGCCATTTGTTTTTGGATATCAGGGGAATGACATACTCTTTCTGTTTTATCTCTTTTGGTTTAGAAGAGCTGAAACAGAATAAAACATGAATTAGAATGACATGTTTATTATCCAGATACAAAACGTAATGTTTAAAGTGTATTTTTGGTTGGTTTAAGCCCCTTTCCTTGTACGTTTTCTGTTGTATTTTTTAAATATCAATGCAAAAATCACACCAATTTCCCAGATTTACACACCCAGAGCTATGTATCTATTCACACAACACTACTGTACTGTAAAGAAGTATTCCGCTAAAACTGCCCATATTAGATCATAGGCTTCAAAATTCTGATCAGTCGCTAATCTATTAAATAGACCTTGGGGTAACAATTAACAAAAAACTCAAATTTAGTGAGCAAACCAACATCACTGTGACCAGAGCCAAAAGAGTACTAGGAATAATATGTAGGACTTTCACATTAAGGGATAACAGCACATTTGTTGCCCTTTATAAGACATTAGTTAGACCGCATATTGAATACAGCCCTACAGTAGGGTCACCTATGCTGTCAAAGGATAAATAGCAATCGAAAAAAAAGACGAGCTACCAAGAGAATCCCTCAGCTTAAAGACATGCATTACAGCGACAGACTCCGCACCTTAGGACTTCCAACCCTAGAGTACAGAAGGGAAGGAGCGGATATGGTAGAACTGCATAAGACTCTGAAAGGAATTGACATTGTCAGAACAAATGATATGTTTGCTCCACTGGATAGCCACTTTACAAGGGATCACTCAAAAAAGCTCTACAAGAAACCATTCAGACTAAACCTCAGCAAAAATGTATTCAGCAACGTTAACAGAGTGGTCAATAAATGGAACTCTCTCTCTCGGAAGACGTGATTTCAGCAGCAAAAATAAACACCTTCAAGAGTCGACTAAATGTGCATTGGAGAAGTTACCCCCAGGAAATTCAGTGTTTCAGTCTACTAGAACATTTAATGTTAAATTGTGCAAGTAAACATAAGCGTGCAACCGGAAGTGAATTAATTATACAGTATATACAAAAATATTCAGGCATCGAAACAAGCTCTAACAAGCTTTCCAATGATGGAAGATACTGTGAAGGTGGGCACTATATATATGTACAGGGATAAACCACAAGCATTCTGCAACTGGTATGTGATTGGAATATTTATAAATACTAAATAGTCTTTCCTTTCCTGCTATATGGTCAATATGGGTTGGGCAGACTATTTTATCATACTATAACAACATACAATTTACATGTATGTTACTTAGACAGATGGGCACAACGGTGCATATGGGTAATATCCTGCGTTTGGGTAACAGTTACCCATTTCCGTAATGAGAATTCGCAAAACATAATTTATGTCTTTTCCAACTATCAAATTTCCCGCTTATTACCGTCAAGTCAGGTCAATATCTAGAACGGCACAAAGATAACAGCTGACATCACGCGCTTTTTCCCATACAAAATTGAAAAGGTTCCGCAACTTTCCTTAATAATTCATTTGTTTTTAATTTATATATATATCATATTCTCAATTCATAAAACAGTAACAAATAACATTTTGTAAGTAACTAATCAAGTGTCGTAAAACATTTTCCGATTTTATTGTGACCTATATCCGGCGCACGCACTCAACGGAAGCCCCGCAGTAATCAGGTCAAAGTTATATTTGCAGTCCGGCATGTTGTTGATGTTGATCGTGCAACCTGAGAAGATTGAATTGGTGAAAAATCCAGGCGTAAAATTGTTTGTTGATCTCACAGACACTAGAGACAGGCAGCTGGTGTTTGGATCAAAGCAGAAGATACCGATAAGTTCAGTAGTGACACTGTTAAGTCGCTCGGAGGTGCAAACACCAACTTCAGTTATAGTCTCATAAGATGAAGCTGCTATTGGCAGTACTTTAGCAGTAATATAGAAGGGCTTTGCCACACCAAATGTAAATATAGTAAAATAACAACACACAAAGTTCTTTTAAACACTTGGAGCAAAAAAGGGCGTCATTCTGTCAACTAAATCAAATAAATAACACCATGAAGTACATTTGTGCACAAAAAAAATATATCAATTCTGATGTCTAACTTTTTGTGAAAAGGACAAACCATATCACTGACTTTGTTCTCCATTGACTTCAGAATGAAGTTCAGTGTGTAGTCAATAGGGCTATCCTGTGTATAATCCAGTGCAACTGTGATAGGTGAGCATGATTTTTATGTGTGCTATTTATAGCTACTCTACAACACACTATAAGCAATGGAGGTGATACAATTTGTCATTTTTACAAAAATTTAGACAATTGAATTTAACGGTTACTTACTTTTGTATTAATATTTTTTGATTATGTTGAAAGAATGACGCCTTTTTTTTTGTTCATAATGTGTAAAGGAACTTTGTGTGTTGTAATTTCACTTTATTACCGATTCCAGTAATATTTTTTTTACTGAAATGGGAAACTGTTACCCAAATGAGGGATTATTACCCATATATGCGCTGTTGTGCCCAACCTGTTAGATCCGTTTGGATAGTTCAGATAGACATACTAATCATTTATACCCTTTCACTTCCCGTCCTTCAAGCGATGTAACGAAATCTGGATGTTGATCACTCGCCGTCTCATTGTCCTCTTGTAGTTTAGATTTTTCCAGAGGTCGACTGTTTACCTTCTTAGAAAAGCCGAACGACAATGCCTTCCTTTCTGCCATGACTGTCCGTACAGTAAACGTTGAAATGGGTTCAGCTTTATTTTGACGATAGTTTCGTATTTTTGAACCGGAAGTAGTATCAAATCGAAAGTAGAAAAATCAGCTACTTTCACCTTCATTATGTTACGCCTTTCATGTTGTTGGTATTTTCCGTCACTAGGCATGCACGTCTATATTAATCTTCATAGTGTAGACATTCAAAATACAAAGTTCATTGCCGGACACTGATCATGAAGGTCCCCAACTGTGGAGAACATCTGTATCTGTATAGAAATTTTAGCTGATTGAACCACAGGGGCACGGTTCAATTTATCAATTTATATCTGAGGTCTCCTTGTTTACCATCCATATAGGTCTCCTTGTTTACCATATATAAACAAGGAGACCTCAGATATAAATTGATAATTGAACCGTGCCCATGGTAAACAAGGAGACCTCAGATATAAATTGATCATTGAACCGTGCCCCTGTGATTAAACCACAGGGGTTCGTTACAAATGTCTGAAATACACATACATTTGTATGCTATACTGGTATGGGTCTCAGCACACATAAACATACACATATTGTTTGTATAGCCAATGTACAAGTTCAATATATGCAAATAACATATATGAGTTATGTTTTTTTATTGAGGTCTTTGATCAAGACTTATCAAGGGGTTGGGACACATTTGTAACGAACCCCTGTGATTGAACTGATCCATAGGAGTCTAACGTTTAAGGTTCAACAAGCCCCCTAAAAGATGCTGTTGTCAGCTAAAATTCCAACCACAGGGGTTCGTTACCAATGTGTTCCAACCCCTTGATAAGTCATGCTCAAAGACCTCAATAAAAAAACAGAACTCATATATGTTATTTGTATATATTGAACTTGTACATTGGCTATACAAAAAATAAATAAGTTAAAAATAAGGCATTAAGGCTAATGTCTTCATAAAGATAGCTCACTGGACTTATAACATGTCAATTTCGTTTGCATCCTCGATATCCAGGGGTTACGCTCACTTTTGCTATCTGCACCCCTGGAATATGTCGAAGCAAAATTGAAGGCACGGACATAGCTGTTTGATTAGTCTCAGGTTAAAAAGAATTATAACAAGTTTAGCTCTTTTATAATAACATTGACTGTTAAGAAAAGACATTTTATATGAAGTTTAAGTAGTGTTTATGGTCAAATGTCTATGGTTTTACACATATATACCGGTAAAATATGTTACTCTGACGTTTTACTATGATTTTTGTACATTCCCATAGCAACAATCATCTTTTTGTGAGGCCGGCATGCCTCTCCACACATAGTTATGGAGAAATAAAGCCCCGCATGACCTAGGTATATAAATGATCTTCAAATGACATGTCATTTCGTAACATTCAGTTGGGTTGTGGACCAATTGTAGTATGTGGAATAAAGGTCATAGGAGTGTATTGATAAACGGAAGTAGGAAGTACATCCCTAGTTGAAAATCCAATGTAGGAACTGTATGCTGATATAAACCCTTAAAAACTAATTCTCAGAACGCTAGTTAGGAACCTATAATGGTATTACTGAAATGTCTAGCCCGAGATTCCTCTGGCACAATAACAACAACTTGAAACGGTCCAGTTTCGCTACATTCCTCCCTCGCGACCCTCTAACAAATTCCATTCTAACCTGCGTTTCATGTGGCCCTAACACCAGACTTAGACATTTTGACATATAGATGTCTCACCCCAGACATCTATATGTCAAAATGTCTAAGTCTGTTGTTAGGGCCAGAGGAGACTCGGGCTAATTCCTTGGGTATATTTCATTGGGCGCCAAAATTAAATGCAAAGCTGGGGGGGGGGGGGGGGGGGGGGATACACGGTCCTGTGACCAGGATTCGAACCAGGACCCTCCGAACTCTAAACGGACGCTCTATCGATCAAGTATGATAAATTAATTTTTCATTCATTGAATGTGGTTCAATGTGTCCAACACAGGTAATTAAAATCCGAAAAGTAACCATTATCACTGCTTCAAAACCCTTATATTTGTCGTCATTATTTCGCTACGTAAAAGTCATAACAAATTTTCATCTCTGTCTCATTGTATCGGAGCCTGTATTTGTCGCAGGCCTAGTGAAAATTAGTGTTTTGTTGTGGCTGATATAGCAACATATTCGTTAGCCAGTCTGATAAAGCTGGAAACCCTGGGATTATTTTTGGAATGTTACATGCACCAAAGATTTAAATGCCACTTGCGTCCAACCTTGTAATAGTTGTCCTTAACCTATCATTCATACACACGTGAGCGAACACGTTTTCTGTCCACAGGAGCACTCGTAACAAACGTTCTTTCCCTGCGTTTAGTCTTTCTGAAATGTTCTCTCGTTCACCGGTCAACTTATATGTGGATGTCCTTTATCGGGTCAAATTCCAACAAAAAATATTAAGTAAACTGTTGTTCACAATAACATCAAAGCACTGGTGGGTTTTAGGTTTCATCCAAAGAAACGTTTTACACAGTAAGTTTGCAAATTGAATTTTAAACCAAAAACATCAAGGAACTGAAAAAAAGATGGCATTTGAAAACGCAAGTGAGATGGGCAAATGAGGAAAGATTATCAAACCCAGCAGGTTTAGCGACACGTACGTATGGCTCAAAAGATATGTCAACAGCGACTGGCGACTCAGCAGAACGGCCATACTGGGACGTACACGTGTATGGCGCCAACGACTTGATGACATATTTCAACTCGGCATCCGAAGCTGCATTATCTTGGAAAGCGTGTTTAAAGCATCATTCTTCTAAGATTTTGTGAAAACCAGTTGGTTGATATAATAGGACTTCACCTTCATGGGTGGGATGTTGTACACATTGTGCCATGCAGTTAAGATATTATTGGACTCAGATTTATTGGAGATAAATGTATATTTTAAATGGTGCTTGTAAAACATGTTCGGACTTAACATTACAAAGCATATTCAAAGGCTCAGTGTGCGCCACCATGTGGATGAGACATTAAGAATAGTTTGATCCTCTGATGTACATCAAAAGAATCGCGCGGCAGCATAACGGCTAAACTTGCCGGCTTTATAGTCGGGTGTAGCTTCTCTGTAATCTTCAAAGGACAGGTATCAGCCTAGCGATTGGTCCGGTTTTTATTACTTGAAACCAACAAATAGTTAGCCGCGTGCCTTTGATTTTGCTGTGACATACTCCAGGGGTACAGAGAGTGTAAGTGAGCGTAATCCTTGGAGTATCGAGGATGTCATTTTTAAAGCCGCAGAGAAATTAATAACGTGTATCTCATTTTGATGTGGTATTGTTGCACACAGTGTAAATACACTACGGTGTCTAAGAGCCTCTGAAAGCAACACAACCTTTTAGCTTTCCGCCAAGAAATGTTCAGTAGTCATAACTTCTCTCGGTCCAGTTTAGTTCTTGTAAGCATACGACACAGCTATCAAGAAACTCGTGATATTTTGGGAAAACCCGGCCCTGAATACCGAAAAAGCATAAATCAGATTTTAATTTCTTCGGCATTAGAACACTCCAAAATTGTAAATAAAAACATTGAATTGTATTGATATGGCATTTACAGTTTAAATGAATGATACAGCTTTGAAGGGAAATACACAAAAAAAAACAGTTCCTTCTCCAGATTTTCCGGACATATGGACGAACTTATATTAAGCTGAAGACCGGGTATCATAAGTTTTCGTGAAGTCTTTGTTCTGATTAAAGTGAAAAGTAGATGCAGGCGTGTGAGTAGAAAATTTGGTGCTACCTACTGGGCCCGACTATGTGCAATATTATGGAATTTTATAACCCGGTTTCTGGGTCTTCCGATTAAGCGCTTAACCATCATCATAATTATATGCATAATGAGGTTTTTACGATATTTTTTGTTTTTTGTTTTTCACATCTTCGAAACACTTAGTGTGATTGTAAGTATCCGGATCTTCAATGTACGGAGTCAACTTAAAGCTAACATATTCTGCTGAAAGAGAATACGTATTTTTTCTGAAATATTATGGCGTACTGTACGTATCCGAAAATACATACAAAACAGTATCAACCAATTTTTCAAGCCATAGTGTTTTCTGTTGGGTGCTCATCTAGCTTCGCAAATCGTAGCTCTTTATCCGATCGATCAACATCTTTGAGAAATACAAATATGCTAGCGTGTATACTTTAAATAAATGTCTTACATAACACATTTGTGTGTCATTTGTCGATATTTATTGACGGACAAGGGAAAACCGAAAGCAAAATTATTTACCATACATTTAGAAATACATTGTTCATCATCTTTGATTTTGTAAAATACATCTTTCATCTGATCATTAATTTGTGTGCGTTTGTTTGAGCTTTTTTGATTTTAGTTTATATAATTGCTATGTACGCTAGAATCTGCTGTAACTTTGTTTTGCCGAAACTTGAAATAAAAATTATATTTTGTAACGCTGAACACACCTTTCGATGACGGTATGTTTGCAACACTCATATCCTAAAATATAAAAATCTATTAACGTTAGACAGTGTTAATGAAAAGGTGAACGTTCGTTCACTTTGTTCAAAAACTGTGATTCTTCAACACTGCCCACAAATGTTTATCACCGATAACTTAATGATTGAATAGAAAACATCCTACACGATTGCCCTATGTTCTGTGTTATCGATCTCTTTCGACCTTTGTCGATATCAAAACTATTCATCGACTAATTAATGGATAAACGGTACGTCTTATCCAGGTAAACATGGCTCTTCCAATTGGGTCCGACTATTCGGTTATTAACATTTATAACCGATTTTTGGGTCTTTCGATTAACCGTTTAACCATGATCATCTACGCCTAACAACGATTTTTTTATGATATAATTTTTCGTAGATTTTTTGGAACATTTCGTGTGATGAAAATGTTCCAACTTACAGTTAACATATTTTGCTGAGAGAGTAAACATAATTTGTCTGTATTATTATGACGTACGTATCCGAAAATGCTCGCAAAACGATCATCACCATTATGTTTTCTGTTTCGGTGCTCATGTAGCTTCGGAAATCGGAGCTTATTATAGGAGC